GGGACTGTGCTCTCACCAAGGTCCAAGGCAAAACTCCCACTGAAGTCAGTGGGAGCTTCAGTTTGTGAAGAGCTTCAGTTTATGAAGTTCAGTTCGTTCAGTTCATGAACTTCAGTTCATGAAGTTCAGTTCAGTTCAGTTCTAGAGCTTCATTTGCATGTTATTGTCACTGGCAGTGCTATAGTTTCTTTGTAAACCTTTTATTTGGATTATCTGGTAACTTGTACAGCTACTGAGACCAGAACCATATCGTACTCCTGTCAGCTTCTTTCCATCCCACTTACTTCTGCCAGTTGCAGATTGTCTTTATGTTAGCATTGTGAGCCTACTGTTAGAAAAATGCTTTACTTTTCACCTGTGATAGCCAATTCTTTCTTGCAATATCAGAATTGTATTACTTCAAGTTTCTGTAAATTGATAGACCCCGTAATTTCCTTCTCAAATAATCCCTGTTTAGATTTTTCTTGATTGTGTGTATCACAGGAGAGTTTGGCTCTGATATTAAAAGTAAACAAGAACATGTGAACACTAATAAAAACCAACCCTTAGTTTACTTGAGAAATGACAGGGTTTTGTTTTCTTGAAATAATGTTAGCTTCAGGAATAACTGACACCAAATCATATACATATAATCAGAAATCATATATTCTAACATTGGCAAGCCAGGTCTGGGATTTCCTTTCTCATGTTATCTGCCTGTATGCAGGCACCTGCCTACATATAAACTTCCCAATGCACCCAGGATGTGCTTCAGCTGCACAGCGATACACTGCTTCACTTTATGGTTTGGTGCACTCTATTCCATAGCAGAATCTTATGTTAAATAGAGGATGTTGCTAAAACATGACTCTTAATTTTCTAGAAATCTCCCTGCATCCTGTGACTCTCATTCTCATTGATACTTTGTGTTGCCAGGAAATAGACAAAAATCAGACTTTACACATGAAAATGCACTATAATGAGGAATGAAAATTGAGAATCAAGGAAAACAAAAAAGAGCAACTTGTGTGGAAAACTGCTATTTTCATTCCCCATCTGCAAATGTTCCTCTTCAACAGAGATGCAAGATGAGCAAAATTCCAGTAAGATTTCTCATGGGTTTACCTGGGAGAAGGCAGAATTTACCTGCAATGCTTGGCATTTTCTGCAACATAAAATTCTGGAAACACTCTTAGAAAGTGTTGTTTATATCAGCTGAGATCAAAAGAAAGGATAAAAGTCATTGGCAGAAAAGCTGAACTTTATTTACCTGTTTATTTACCAAAACTATTGTAGAAGACAGTTCATGATACTGCTATACTGTCATTCCTCTGGAGAGCTGTGTGTCATCCTGAATGATGACAGACAGAATCCTAAATTCTAAAATTTATTTATTTAAAACATCTAAAAAGTACAAAATATTTTGCTATATTGCAGTTTTACTCCTGACATGCAAAAAGCCAGTTTTATAGCATTGGTACTGTTTTATCTATTGTGATTGTATATATCAACAGAAAGAAAGGGAGGTGCCTCTGTAAGCTTCCGGGGATATTCTGATATAAATTTCAGTGTTCTGACCTGCAGTGAAAGGACTAGCCTGCAGTAAGCTATGTTAGTGTGCACTTTTGATTATGCTGATAGCACTGACTGAATCTGAAAATCCTCAGAAGGTTTTTCTAATAGGCAGAAGAATACAATACATAATAACAGAAGCATATTCAAAATTTTAGCATCCCAGAGAATGCTACAGATTAGAAATTTTACAGATTTTGGTAGTATTTTTACAAGGAAATTTCCATCAAACTAAATGCTTTGTGTTAGTGAAATTGTGCAGTAAAGTTGATGACCTATTCAGTATCTTCACTGTTCTTCCCCATGGTAAAATAATAATAAATTTGGTTTGTAACTACAGTAAATGAAATGGCTATTTTTAAGTTATCCTTGTGAGTATCTTTACAAAGTGAGGCTTCTTACAACCAAAAGCATTATTTTTTTTATTCTAAGGAATAAATTGTAATGCTAACAGTGACAGTATTGTGCAGACTAGCAAAAAGTGAGTGCTTTCTCAAATATCTTATTCTGTATTTAAATTCTGTGTACCATAAAAATTGCCTATGAATGAAAGTTACATGTTGCTTTTTTCTTGGACCCAAAATAATTTCTCATCTAATTCCATATCAGGCAACACAGAGGCAATTCTTGTGTGTTACAGCACTAAATAGACAATGAATGCGTTTGTAATAGCAGATTATTTGCTCCGGTAGCCAAGGCATAAAACCAAATTATGTCTTGATCACTTCATGCTACGTGTAAGCAGTAGGAGGAGCTGTTGAGCAAGAAATGTTTTCCACATGTTCAAGTCATTACGCAGTGTAAAATTCATCAGTTTATTTGTGAAGCTGACTCAGTAACTGCTTTTGAACATGTTTGGGACTCAAAGTTCTATATCTTACTGGGGAGATTTGCTAGAGTAAACAGTGCAGGACTCCACCACAGAGTGCAGAATGGAACTTGTAGGTGGGTTTACTGGCCCACCTCTTGATCAGCCTACTGCACTCTCTCAATGTTGCTTTGAAGTTTTGCACTTAACAGTAAATTAGTGTAGAACATGTACTCAATACCTGCATTTTTCACTTTTAATTAGTGAACAATTCCATTTCAAGGTGGGAATAATTACATGGATCCCTCTGAGGTGGTCCCACCATGACGACAGTTGCTGCCCCATTGCATCTGTTCGTTAGAAGAACACTTTGCCCGTACCTTATTGTTTCATCTGCTTCCCGCTCAGAAAGGAAAGCTTTGGACACTCTGCTGCTGCAGAGCCCTTCAGATCATATTTTCACAGCTGAGATGCTTTTAGAACCAACTCCAATTCTCTTGCAGTATAAAATATGCATAACAAAGATAGGCAACAATTATTACTTTGCTAATGGACTCCTCCAAGGTAGTGTAGAGCATCTTCTGTTTCTGTGGGCATTTAACACAGTGAGGATCCTGCAATCCTTTGGACAAAACTGTTGGGCAGTATATGGGTACTAGACCTCAGCAACTGAAATAACAGTGAGGAGATGCATGCTGGTGGCTGGAAGAGTGATTTGTGCGCTTGAAACTGCTTTATTTCACTTTGCAATTCCATAGTCTGAATTCAACTTGTAAAACACAACTTCCATACAGGTTGCTGTTCTCTCACAGTATATACACATTTATATGCCATTAAAATGATAGTTAAATAAACAATGAATTCATTGATGGTAGTGAGCGGTGTTCTCCACATTTTTACATTTATTTTATCTGCCATTAAACACCAAATTAAATGAAACCATAATACAGCTATTAAAACCAAACACAGTCATTACAGAGCCAACTTTGCTTAGCGGCCACATACAGCTTTCAGCCAGTATGATGAACAACTCAAAGGGGATTGATGCTGGCAGCACAGGGCCAGGGAGAAGAAATTAGCAAAGGGCACAGACACAAAGACAAACTGACTGCTCTGAGGAATCTGTGTTGTAATGCAAGTGACCCAGGCATGCAAAGACACATTTTAGACAGAACAGGCTTTGTTTAAACCAAAACGTTTTGCTAGAAAAGCTCTATTCACAAAATGGGGACTTAGTCTGACTGAAACTCTTCAGGCTAGATGTAGCTATACAGTTTGTAGTAACAAAAATATTATTTCATCGGTGCAACTTATTTTAGCCTTTTTGTCACATTTAGTCTTGTTTCTTGGGCGTACTCATTCAGTTAGCTATTCCAGCAGCATCATAAGCCACAGATGCTGCAACAACTGTGTTGTTGACAGACCACCGAACTCACGGACACGTGTTTTGGCCTTTCAGGTAAAGAGCCTGAAGCTCAACTCAAGCAGACAGTCATAGGTGGGAACATAATCAAGGTAAGTGTTTCTTCAGCCCTGAAATGTACAACTTTGGACAGTCCTTTGAAATACTGACAAAGTGTGATGTACCTCTGAGATATACAGCAGTATCAGTTATAGACAACTGTAATTACTGTTCCTGCTTCTCAGAGTTAGATGTAAGAATCAGACACAAAAAATCTGAAATCATTAGCTTTGTGTTAACCAGGGCTGGGGTTATGTAATGTACTTAAGATGATCTTTAAGAAAACTAGCAAAACAATAGTTCATGCACATTTATGTGTAAATTCAGTGTTAACAAAGTCCTAAGGGGGTAGGAGCTGCTGAAAGACTGGAAGGTGTAGACCCAAATGCTCAGCCTTGGCTATAAAGGCGCTTTACTAAATTTTCCACTCACAATTTCAGACTGGTTTTGTGGCTTGCTAATTCAACACCACTCCTATGTGTTTGAATATTATATCAGCTGTCATACTCTCCGAGGCTAATTTTGTCAGGTTTTGGACACCTGGCCTGCCAGTCAGCTGAAAATCACTTCGGCTCATTCACAGCTTGGGCACTATGCCAAATTGTTGTTTATATTCCAGCCAGCTTGCGCTCACACCCTCACAGCTTGTAATTTTCATTCCTTATCAGTTAGCAGAAAAACGATGGTTTACAGAAATGGATTGGAGAAATAAAACAATTCTTTTGAACACTGGGGGGTTTCCATTAGAATGCTGTCCAGGCAAATTCTGCCATCAGTTTAATAACTGAGAAATTCCTGCTTTGGTTCCCGTACACTTGCATGTCCGTGGATGTACCTGGAGACTACCTGACAGTCTTGTAAGGTTACCTTCCAGCAAAATCTCAGCCCAGTTTCGTGTCTTGGCTGTCTCGGGTTGTAAGCAGAAGCAGGGTGGCCGGTAGGGTCACCCCGCCTTTGGAGATAGGGCCAGCTACACTCCAGAACCTGCTGCTCTGCGCTCCTCCAGAGGGCAGCCCGGGCTCTCTGTAGCCAAGGGACTGCACAGCTCTCCCAGCCCCGCTCCCACCCTGCGCGGACAGACCCAAGCCCAGCCCCGCCGCGACACTACAGGCCCCAGAACCCTTCGCGCCCTTCGCGCAATATCCCCCGCTTCCCGCTACGGCCGCCGGGGCTTGTAGTCGGGCTGCGGGGACGGGCGAGGCGGTGGCAGCAGCAGCGGCGCTCCGCCCCGGGGGAGGGACGGCGCAAGGCGTGGGGGGCACGGGAGACAGGTACCCGCGGGCGGCCCTGGAGGCACTTTCTCGCAGTGGCCGGCCGGGCTTCGAGAGCGGCGAAGCGCGGCGGCCTCCCACGGGGCCCTGAGGCGGAGCAGCGGCCTAGGGGTGCCCGAGGCGAGCTCGGGCTCTGAGAGGAGACGCGGCCGCGGGGGGTGCGGCACTGGTGAAGCCTGCCCGGCCGGGCCCCGCTCCTCGCCCCGCTCCTGGCGGTGCGGCCCCTCCACGGGAGGCACGGGGCGCCGCAGGGCCGGGACGCGCAGGTGGCCGCCGCCCGGCAGCGGCGGTGAGCGGAGCCGGCCCCCAGAGGCCGCCGCCGCGAGGAGGGAGCGGCGGGCGCGGGACTTCAGCGGAGGAGCATGCACTGACTCGCTGCCTCGGCTCAGAGCCACCCCGGCCGCCGGGTGCGAGTTGCATGGTGTGGGGATACACGATCTCGATAATAAATGATAGAGGATACAATGACTTTGCTGTCTCTGCTGGGTCGGATCATGCGTTACTTCTTGCTTAGACCGGAGACCCTGTTCTTGCTGTGCATCAGCCTGGCCCTGTGGAGTTATTTCTTCCACACGGATGAGGTGAAAACCATTGTTAAGTCCAGCAGGGATGCGGTGAAGATGGTGAAGGGCAAGGTGGCTGAGATCATGCAGAATGACAGGCTCGGGGGGCTAGATGTGCTGGACGCAGAGTTCTCCAAGACCTGGGAGTTCAAGAGCCACAACGTGGCTGTCTACTCCATCCAAGGCCGGAGGGATCACATGGAGGACAGGTTCGAAGTAATCACTGACCTGGTGAACAAGACTCACCCCTCCATCTTCGGGATATTTGATGGGCATGGAGGAGAGGCAAGTGCTCAGCTGGAAAAAAGGCACAAAAAACAAAAAGGGGGGTTGGGGGGGTGGATGATTACAAGGCAAGGGGTGATTGTTCTCACCTGCCAGGTTTGTGTGGTTATCTTGAGACACTGTTGGGGGGATGGGGGAGGAGAGCACGAGTGTCTAAATAGGGGTCGAGGATACTCTGTTCCCTTTATTTCTCATTACCCTTCTACAGTCAGTGCAGTATAAATGTGTTTATACCCTGGCTGCCCTTTACAGTAGTAAAGGTTTAATTGAAGTAAAAGCCTTTGGAGGTGGCTCTTACGTGTGTGGAATAACGATGATGAGCACAAACTCCCTGGAGTCATCTTTTGTTACAGCGAAGTGTGGTGTGATCTGATTTTGGCACGGGGCTGGTCTCTCCCTCCTGTCAGGAGCCGGGCTCATCAGCAATTAGAGAGCAGTCAGTCCTCTTAAAGCCAGTGTGTGTAAAATGTGTCTTCACAGGAATTCACCCTCAAGTGAGGACTGGCAAGTCACTGAGAACGAGTATCATGTTTGGGAGCTGCATGTAGATTTTTAAGTCATTACAGCTGTGCTGTCACACTTGTTCCCTCCCTAGTGGAAATCCAGGAAAACTGTCATTTTGAAACTTTTTGGTGTTTAACCTCTTAACTTTTTTAGGAAGGGCAATTTCCTTCAGGTTGTGCTGTGTAATTAGCGTTACAGCTTGATGGTGTGCTTCCTTTATTACAGATTACAAATGCTGAAGCAATAGCTTCCTCTTTATTTAAGATTGTGGTGCTGCCATGTAGCTTTTTGTATAGCACAAAGTACATGTTTCATAACTGTGGGAAAGGACAAAGAATTTGTCCTTGTGTAACAAATTAGCTGAAGCAAACATCGTGCTGGGTATGAGAGAACTTTCTGGGTTTTGCTGGGGTGATGGAAACTGGAGAGAAATGGTGAAGTTTTCCTCAAAGTGCTCCTGCTGAGGAGGGGTAAGGCAGGGAGAAAGATTGGGTGTTCCTCCAGCTGCTTTCACAGATCAAGGAGTCGAAGTCCTTCCTTGAAAAGCCTTGGCAGTGACTAGGCACTAGTGGAGCACAGGGATGTGGAGCTTCTGCCCCTCTGAACCTGTAAGTGTTGCCTAAAAAATCCAGGCCTGAGGCACATAATCAAAAAGCTTCTCTTCTGCTGCCCTCATGGTAGTAAAAGGAGTCAGTCATGTGTCCTACTGCTGTCTTGCAGCATACAGCATTTTGCCCCCTTTAAAATAACGCAGACACTTTGGACAGTGAAAATTGTCAGCTTCACAACAATTTTTGGTTGTGACTGAACCCTGTTTTCCTTTTTAAATCTGATTTCAGTTGGGGCTCAGCTGTGCCAACTTGTACTGGCGTATTTGTGCCAGCTCACTATCCTTGGCCTTCGAGGAATGCAGGTAGAAATGTCAATTGCAAACTGTTTTCACATCTTTTCCCGAAAGAATATTAGCTCTGACCAGTGTGTTTGGTGCTTTCCTGTTTTCTGAAGAGTTGGACAGGAGGTGCTTGTGCTCTGTCTGCTGCCTTCTTCCCCTTTGTTTAAACTGACAGTTTTCCTTGTCTGGAACAAACAAATTTGCAGGAATATCTGTGTCGTGTTTTTAAACAGTGTTCTGAGGTTGTTACAGATACAAGTATGATACACACACTTAGACTCTGGCAGTGTGAAAGAGTGATCTTATTTCTTTCATAAATTTGGTGTCATACATGTATCTTGCCTTGCGCTTGATTGCAAACCCATTGTAACACAGAGAATAGCTAAAACAAGAATGTGCCCTATATATATATTGTTTGCTTGTTTGTTTGTTTTGTTGTGGATCTTGGAATTACACAGATAGGATATATTAATGATATTAGTGGATCTGTGGAAAGCTCATTTGTCTTTTGTATTCGCATTCCTTAGAACCTGCTCTAATTGTTTCAGTGGCAAAGTATGAGGCTTTTCTTTAAGAGGCCTGTACTTTTGAAAGGTTTAGCAGATCTCTTTCCAAAAACCTTACTAAAGTTAATATTAAAAAAAAAAATGTATCTAGTACCTCTTATTTATCTTTCTAATGCAATTCTCAGGTGTTCTTAACAGCCTTTACTCCTACAGAAATAAGTGCCTAATCATTGAGGACATAACTAGTTTCCAGCTTTAGATTTTATGTAAAACTGAGCAGAAAAGCATGGACTATGTGCTGTGCATACAGAGAAAAAAAAAAAAAAGAAAAAGGAAAATGGGGTTTAATCTAGACAGGTTTTGTAGTTTTGAGTAGAAAAGAGGGGAGGGAGAAGAAACCGGAAAAAATTAACACTCTTATTTAATCCGTAGTAGATAATACTAAATTTCAGATCTTTATGTGAATTGGTTTTCTGGATGTCTGGGTTTTTTTGGTTGTTTTTTTTTTTTTTTTAAAGATAAATGACTTTGTAGAGCACTTTACCTACATATGTAACAAAGCCTTTGTGAAGATTAAATTTTCCACATGGGGTCCCATAAAATTTCTTTATGTGTATTTAAAGAACAAAGAACTGCTAATCTCTGGAGTTACATGTGGAATAGACTGTTCTGTGTGGGCAAGAATTGTTTTTCCAAACAGACAATGCCACAAATGAGATGCTAGATTAATTCTTTCCAGCTAAATACAAGGGAGTGTGTCTCCATTAATTGCTTCCTGCCATATCACATTGAAGTGGGAAAATAGAGAAGCATTATTCAAAAATATGACTTACTCTGTAGTGCTAATTTATGAAAATTACTGAGTTTTGCTTAAATATTGCCAACATTTTACATGAATTCTACTTTTTTGTTGTGTCATTTCCCCTTCTATTTTGCAATTTTAACTTGAATAGGCTGGCAGCTATTTCCTTTAATTTTGTGGCTGGCTTGATGAGAAAGCAATAAGCAACAATAAGTATTAATCCTCTGTGTCACAGCTAAGTATCTGGTGTGCTGCTGCAGTTTCTTGTGAAAGACAATAATATTTCAGAGAGAAAACTTGATACATGATGGTTAGTGCGGCCTTCCTTTTATGCAAAGTTTGTTGCTTGAAGACTGAATAATAATAATAATAATAATAATAATAATAATAATAATAATGAAGAACAGGTAGAGGGCAAAGTCATAGAGTTGGAAAGAATTAAGAAAAGTTTCTGTCCGTTGTCTCTCTGAATGAGTTTGGCCAAAGGAGTCTTCAAGGTAATCTCACTTAGGATCAAAAAAGACGAGAAGAAAGACTGTACTCCCATCACCTCCTTTACAAGGCTGAAAGATAAGCTTGAATGCCTCTTTTTTCTTTCTTTTTTTTTTTTTTCTTCTTCCCTTTTTCCTTTATTAAGAAATTTTGAGGCTGTCTAGACTGGAAGATGGAGAAGTGGCAAACTATGTAAATGATAAAATAACAAAAAAAGAACTTGAAAGCTGAGCAAAGAAAAGGATGGTTGCTTAATTAGAATGATTTGACTATTTTAACTAACATTTACTGAAGGGTTCTTTTCTCAAATATTTAAGGTTTAAACACTCGGTTTAATGAGATCTCATTATTAGACAAGAACAAAGCTACCATCTGCAGTTTTATGGTTATGGCTATGTTGCATATCATTGTTTTTTTCCTAACCCTGTGAGGTAAAGACTTTAAAAATAGTTATAGCAATAGTATCTTAAATGCTGCTTGCGCTTGTTTGCAGTCATAAACTGATGTGGATAATGATGGGGGGAAATTAAAGCTCAGTAACTGTCTCATAAAAAATGTCTTGCTCTTTTTATGTATCTTAGCCTCCTTAAATAGGAACGTGGCAAGGCTTGTTCCTTGTGATCTGCAGGTACGGTTAAGAGTATTTTGCATGATATAATCGGTTTTTAGAGTTGCTGATACAGTGTTGCAGTATGTGAAATACACCTTTTTATTTTTCTTCATAGTGTAAGGGAAGAGTGGGGAGCTTAAATGTAAGGAAAGAAGGAAATTTGCTGTATAGATGGCTAGTATTTGTAACCACATACAGAATCGCGTAATACTTTGTGTGCCACAGGACCTTGAAGTCAGTATCAGAAACTGTTGGCAGAAGTCTCTGGTTACTGATTAACTTACAAAGACAAAAATAAAAGGGAAAGGTCAGAAGATAATGGCGAGAGTCTTTGTCTGAGACTATGGAAACATAAATGCTGAGGTAAGGCTTGGAGAAGAGGGCAGGGTGCCAGCTGTGTTTAAATGAGCCTGCTGTGCATTTAAAATACAGGTACTTGAAAGCATGGTTAATTCTTCCCTGATTCACTGAGGTGAATTTGCTGTCATCTTCCGGCCCCATCGCAACAAACAAGTTGCTGGGAGGCTAGGTTGAGAAAAGAACTTCTGAAATACTGAAAATCACTCTTGTGCATATTCTTCTCCTACATGAATACGGGATGACTACTCCTCAGTGAAGGCGAAAAATAAATTTGCCAGAGTGTGAGAATTTGGGCAGGGCAGCTGTAAATCACACTGTCAGAGTAGGACATGGTGACTGTACGCTTGTGCTCATACCAGTTAACATGATTTTTAACCCTTCACAACCCTGAGCTCCCCTGTGTGTTGTCTGTGTTATGATGATGGACATCTTTTCAGGCCCTGGTAAGGGGAAATTTATTCCATTTAATTGGAGATGTTAACTGATGGTTGGAAGATAATATTTGCCTTCTACCAAATACGTACTAATGAGATAATATTTTTATTTTGGTGATCTTTGATTATTTTTTTTTCTTTTTTGTTAGTGACTGATCCTAATAGCAGAAGGTGTTCATGCTGTGATAAAAGAAATCTAACAGTTTTGTTGGGATTTTTTTCTAAATTCCTTTGGATCTGCTAATTCTAATTCAAAAGCTGTTCTTCTGATGCTGATCTACTTGGGCAAACTTAGTGACGAAAATGTATCTATCATACTTTTGTGCAAAGGCCATTAAGGATTAATGGCTTGAGATTTCATAAAACGTAAGAATAAATCAGACAACAGCTTTGCGTTTTT